AAATTCTTTTTTATATTTTTACATTTTGTGTTTTCGTGAAGCGCCTCGTGATTTTTATCTTGAGAGGCGCTATAGAAATGATATTTTCTTCTTCTTCTGTTGAACCCACTGAAAAACGGTGTTGTACGACCTTTTTGATTATGTTTACTCCATTTAATGCCTCTTGTGTTTTTCATGCCATTTTGACTTTCTATTTCCTCCCTTAGGTTTTCCAGCTGGGTTCCTTGGTTGCATAGCCTGTTCCTTTCTCTTCCTGGCCCTGACGCCGGCTCCTCATAGCCTCCTGAGATGTCTATCTCTCCTGATACCATCTCATGTCCCCCTCACTTTCCCTCATCTCATTTGCCTCACTGCTGCTGCTTTCCTCATTCTCTGAAATTATAATGGCACTGTTAGAATAAAGAATAATTTTTAAATAAAATAAATACAAATGTCTAATATTTTAAAATATTTGTTTACTTGATTACAACATGTGTGGTCACATGGTCAGTGGATCAAGGGATCAACATGCAGTGGTTCTGCTGTAGTTCTCACTGCGGGGTCCTTCCTCCTCCTTGGTTCAGGGCGATGAACAAACACAGCATCAGCCCTGAGTCTCACCTTGTCTTGCCTAGTTTTAGTAAATTGGCCCTCCTCAAAATGTGCCTGTAGAGTGGTGTATTAGTTTATTTCCTGCCACATTTAACAGTTTAATTGCAGCCTTGTGCAGTTGAGAGCAGAACCTGTAGAGCCTTGATAGAAACATTTGAGAGTGCACATTAAACTCACTACACACAGCTTTTTGTTATTGTGATCTCTGGTCATGGTGAGGTTGCTCCTGCTGACTTGAGCCAACCATTTTCTTCTTCTCTCTGCATCTTTGGGGAAGCCGTAATTCTGATTCCTCCCTCAGACCGATTGCTATATGCAGTGCAGCCAACCATGGTATGATAATCAACCTTTAAAGGTATTATTAAAATACTATTTTTGTACATATAGAAATATTAAACTAAACCAAAAATATAGAGATGTAAAATTACATTTTAAAATTTTATACAATTAACCTAAAATTTGTAATTTCAAATTTTAACCTACAGACACATTTTATTTTAATAATAATCAAAATAAAGTTATTCAAAAGAGGTTCATTAGGTCTTGAGTACATTGCTCATAATTAATGATTCAGCTTATTTGTGCACATGTAATGACTAAACATAATGTTGGTGAAAATGCTTTATTAAAAATGTTATTATACATGTTGTACTAGTTTGTATTCATTTTTTCACAGTTAACGCACTTATTCATCTACTGTGTTTGACCATATAGTTTTACTGAAATTTTCTTTTTAATTAGTTGCTGTAGAAGCCAGATAAACTGGGTTATAGATGCATGTAGGCTACTGTCTTCACATAAAAATATAAAGTAATGATTGTAAAATATATTCTACTGAACATAACAGATCACCATTCAAAGCATAAGCAGCTACATATTTTCTTCTAGGTAAGCTGGAGCAGAATTCTAGCTTAACCACTTTAAAATGGATATTACAACTCGAGTTTAAGGCTTCTTGTAGGACTTAAAGTTATTGAATATGCTTATATTAGAGCAGTGTGCTGCATTACTACATCAAATGTAGTGCTATAGTATATTATAGTAATGTATGTGGTCTAAATGTGTTCTACAGTGTGTTAGGACTGTCGTGTTCCTGTAATGTTGAACAGTCACGGGTGTCTGTCTTCCTACAAATGCTGGGAAAAAAATAAATAGGCTACTTTGTGAAGGAGTTAGGACATAATATATAATATATTATATTATTCAATAGTTACCCAAAATAGCCAGGGGAAATGTGACAATATTCAGTCTTTGTGATTTGTCCCACCATACGCTGTTCAAACTGACTTACGGCGCTGGGATGTTTGGAACTATTGAGAGCTCCATGAACCACGTGACCGTGAGTCGGCGAGTTCAAAGCG